ATTTTATTTTTATTTTTATTTTATTTATTTTTCTGTCTTCATAATTTTTTTCTTGTGCTTTCTCTTCTTTCCCAAGGAAATTAACTAGCAAATTAAAAACCAGCCAACCAACCAACAAAAAAAAACCCCAACAAACCAAACCAAAAAACCCAAAAGAACATGAAAGCACAAAAAACTACTTCAAAAAAAAAGGACAAAAACCCCCAAGAATTGCTGGGAGTCAAACTTGAACTAAGTTAAAAAAAAAAAAAAAAAGATATATCCTGCAGGAATTAGGGGTATTCCTCATCACTAATACGTTGAAACAGTAACAATACAGGCATCCCATGATGAACAGGTAGAACAGCTTTAAAAAAAATCAGCTATACCTTAAATGTCCATTGCAGAATTTCTAACACTCAATTCGTGATATGGAGAATCATGAGTTAAATTTGAAAACAAGATTTCCAATTAAATACCATGTTCTGCTCCCTTTACTCAAGTGATTTACCCAGTTGAAGTCTGGATGTAAGGCACATGGAATTTGGGTCAAAGTGCTGATCCCTTTCCTTCCTTCCTTTCCCAGTTCTGCAGTAGTAAAACTCTAAATTCAGTGCTGGGAATTCTAAAGTTAGCACATATATTATCATGCTTTGGAAAGTGGAAAAGCAATTCTGAAATTAACTTTGGACATGAAAAACCTGCTGAATTGCATGTTCCTGATTGAGAAATGCTTAGCTGTTGTCTTGATCTTTTCCAAAAGCATAGTGGTTTCTAGTAGGGGATATAAGACTCCAAACTATACATGCATTGCAATCACAATTTTCCCTTTTCTTTTTCTTGGTGTTCTTTGCATATGTTGGAACATCCTTATTTAGATCAGCTCCAGTTTTATTTTTTAATATGTCTTGAGGAGTCAGCATCACACAAATGATGCTTCATCAGATGTTTTGTCTGAACACCTGGAAGAATAGTAATACTGTTAAAAAGCAATGGTAGCAAAGCATACCTTACAGACCAATCCTTTCTCCTCTACAATATGGCATACAATAAAGTATGGCTTGAGAATCAATGAGTATCTGGGACAGCAAATATATTCAGTTTGGAAGTGCTGAAATTTATGATGTCAGTCAGGGGGAGGCATTGTGTTTTCAGGATTTCAGCTGCTGTATTTGGCACACCTGCTCAGAAAGTAGAGCATCATCTTTACAAATGCTGCCCTCCGGTTCCAGCTGAGGCAGATCATGGCTACTGGCTGTGCTCCAGGTTTGCACAGCTTATGTTCCCTTGGGCTTGTTAGGGCCGCCACAATGCTGGCTGGATCTACTTACCTTCAATGAGCATGAACTTTCACCCATGTGTAGAAAGCAGAGATGACAGAAATAGATAGGAATTTCCACAAATGCATGGAAATCTAATTTTAAAACTTACTCCATGTTAAATTCTTCTTTATTTCTTAGCTTTAAAGAAAAATATTACATCCAGTAATGCTTTTTAAAACATTGTTAGTACTTATGAGTTATTGCTGAAACTGTGGACATAGAAAATATATCAACTATTGAATTCTGTATTAGGTAAAAGTAAGGAATGATATAAGAAAAACAGATTTGCAGATATGAAACTCAAGTAGCTGAAAAGAGCAGCAGTGTGTTACTCAGAGTACAGCAGACAGTGCATTAGTGTTATGTTGAAGAACTGGTTATTGAACACTCAATTTCTTTATTTTCATGAAAATCACTCTTGAAATTTAGATCACTTTGTAGTACTGTTGTCTTAGCACTTTGATGTGATAATTAATGCTGGTTATTTGATTCAGGGAATGTTGAAGCTTTAATGGCTCTCGTTGCAAGTATATTTATAGTAGTTTGGCTGGACTCTACAATGTGTGAACTGGACAAGGGGATTGTGGTCCTGGTGGAAGTGTAAATGGAAGAAGAGTTTGACCAAATATGATGATGAAATTAAAAATTACTCTGTGTTTGAACTTGTAACTTGTTTGTAACTTGGTTATCTTTTAAATGCTATTTTTCATTCTGTGTTTTTTTCCAGACCTTTATAGTATTGAATAAAGGGAAGGCAATATTCCGATTCAGTGCCACCTCTGCCCTGTACATGTTAACTCCTTTCAACCCTCTTAGAAAAATAGCTATTAAGATTTTGGTACATTCATATCCTTTTCAAGTGGCTAGTCTAAAACTTCAGTAAATGAGATGTTACTTAGTATTTAAATGATTCTCTGGCATGTGTCCCAGGATTAATATGATCTATAGCGCTTTGTCCCTCTTCTCTCTATTATTTCTGTCTTCTGTGCTTTTTCTGATCCGCTTTTTACATTTGTATTCATTGCTGGATCTTAATATAGTAATATCAGAAACCAGACAATCAGTCATGGTCCTTTACAGTTTTTTCTTGTGTCTTTTTTCTTTCCCCACCTGTTTGTTTTTTTTTTTTCTTTCCCTCCTATTTTTCCTGTAATCATCACACTTTTTTTCATTTTACTCCTCCTCCATGTTTTTCATAAGCTGCAGATACAGTCCTCAAAATATTTCCAGTTCGTAACTGACACTTTGTGTTAGAAATCAAATCTTTGATCCCAGGTTTGTGCTTGCATGAATATTTAGTGAAAATATGATTTCATTATTCTTTTTCATTTTCTGATTCAGATCACAGTCACAGAAGGATAGGTTGATAAAAGAGCTTAGGTTTCTTGTTTGATTATACATTCTCAGTGCTATATGTATCTTACCTATTTTCTTGATTATTATTGCATTATGCACTTCTAATCCTCTAGATGATTTAATTTCAGTCTTCAAGTAGGTCACGAGATTTCTATATTGCAGGTAGGTATTTGCCAAGCTAAATGATCATGATGACTTATCTATTATTTTGGTTTTTTCAGTGTTTTGATAGCTGACTATAGTAAGCATCCCACTGGTCTGATCCCAAATGCTGATACGAGCAATCAGAGCATTGACTTCAGCAAGTCTACTTACTTGAGGAACACATGCAGATGTTTGCACGATTAGATTTTACAAGTCTAACATAAGCACACTGAAAGTAGTTTCGTGTGTAGCATTACGTATAGTGATCCTAAGATAATGCAGAATGAATACTGAAAGGAATTTTTTCAATCTTGGTATGGTGGAAGTCTGGTAATTACAATGGTTGTTATGTGTTGGATGTTGTTATCTATGGCTAGCTTGAAAATGACTTCAGAATTAATCATAACACTACATAGCCTATTTTATATCTTGCTACAGGTACCATTACATATAATTATTTGTCAATTATATGACACTCCTGAGCATGTTATAGAGCATTATTATATGGAATAAATGGAAAATCATGGGACTGAGATGGTGATGAAGAGCTAGATTGACTGAAGTCAGAATGTTAGAAAACATTTAAAATTGTGAGAAAGGATACTCAAGTTATTTCTCTACTGATGAAAGAATAGTAAGGCTTTGCAACTCTGAGAGGACACTTAATCGAGGATTTTGAAAGCCTATGTAAAACACAGGATTGTAAAACATTCTCATAAGACATTATTTATTATGGTTTTAAAAGTACCTTTCATTCTCTTCTGCTGCATTCATATATGAATTACATAGTGAGAAGATGGATTATGAGTAATGGATGTGAGGCAGAGGTATTTACTATCGCTTGAAGTTTTTCCAGTTGATGTAGACATGCATAGAAAACTTCGTGAGGGAAACCTCACAGTACTTCCCACCCCATTATACTCGGATTTCTATTTAGGAGCACCATGTGAGCCTAGTTACAGAAGCTAAAGCTCTTCTCAAAATCGAGTATTGTCCTCTTTCTAGTTTTAGGTGATAGTGCCATCATGTGGACATTTTGGGCATCATCTGTGTGGTTTTCATTGGGGTGTTTATTGCCATTTTCTACGAAGAATGTCATCGGTCCTGAGAGTGAAAGGTTTTAGACCCAGAGCAATTCTGTTAAAATCAATGAAATATTTTTGACTTGTGCCTGTTTTGGAATTCTCTTTAGATTTCTCCTTTTTTTTTTTTTTCAAGTTTCTTTTTATTTTAGGATATGCCTTCCCCTCCATTAACATTCATATTACTAAAGCCATATAAAGCAATACTTTTCTCCCTAAAATTTCCCTATGCTCTCTCCTACTACATGATAACTAGCTTTCAAAATATGTATTATAATAAAAAAATTGTTGATACATGCCAAATTCTGTGGTGAAGCATAAAATTAGAAAAGTGAAGAAAATTTATTTTTCACTGGTTTGTATGCATGCAGTAGATCGGATTTGCCTAGATCATCTGAAACAAATTCTTTTTGTGTTATTCCACTAAATTGGAAGCTACTACTTCAAACATTCACATTTTTATTCAAAAGAAAGTAACCATCTAAGGTCTTCCTAAAATTAAAGGTTGGGGGTTTTATATATCTTTAATGTTTTTTTAATTTTTAGTATGTGATCTATTTTAGCTATAAAGCAGTGACTGTGAAATCTTTAACATATTCATGGCTTTTCTTTGAGTGTTACCAGAGCACTGGAGGGATAAATAGCTCCTGATAGTGGAAATCTGCCAAAGCAGTGTTATTTGATACTCTTTTAATGAGATTTTCTGGCTTACATTCCTTAACTCTTAACCTACATTATTCAGCATGCTTATCATGTGCACTATTTTGACCAACTGTGTATTTATGACCATGAGTAACCCTCCAGACTGGACAAAGAATGTAGAGTAAGTTAAATGGATTTTCTTTGAATAATATTCAGTAATCTGAAATATACTGCTGTAAACGATTTTGTATTAGGATGGCACGCACTGGCAGCAGCTACCTTCTTGCGATATCCTTTCAACAGCTATTCTGATGCTAGTTTCTTCTGTGTAATATTAAATACATATATTTTGCGAACCTTGCCTCATTGCAGGTTGTTCAATGTCCATCCTCTGTTTACAGTACTAGATGGGGAATGTAAGATTAGAAGCTAGTGTTCTGACCAAGCAAAAAATAGTTCATAAATATTTTCCACTGCATTTGATGTAATATCTGTGCAAGAATATGGAGAAATACACTCTTCCATCTCTACTGCAATAGCCATTGCAGGTAAAAGGATTGTGTAATCGATGCCTGTGTTCACCATAGTGCAGCTTTCCTTCACCAAAGACAATCTAACAATGATTATGTTATGTATGAAAAGTATGCTGTTAGAAAAGCATAGCTTGTGTGAAAAGTAAGCTATTAGAAAAGTGTTTAAGTGGTTGACTGATCTTCCTATAGGAAGAGAAAAGGTCAAATATGATGTCAACAACTTGATGCTGATATACATTTGGTGCATGTTTTGCGATAGTTCCAAGGCTGTAGACCACAGTGTTAAACAGTTCTTCATGGTGCTTCATTTTTGCAATAGCATTTTATGCTTCTGCTTCTTCTTCATTCCTCACTGTTTTGGATGATATGTAACTCTTTAATCTTTAGTAATCAAAAGTGAAATCATAGGAGTTTGGAGTCAGTGAAGGCATTCTCATTTTGAGTTCAGTATGAACATACATGTATTCAGGATGTCTAGCATATAATAAATATTCATAAGTAAAGATAGCTAGCCTGAATATTTCTTCATATCATCATATTGTGCCATTTAGATATGCAACAGAACTCCTTCTCATCTGTTGAGTAAAGTTGTGCAGGAAAGAAAATTTTTAGTAATTGAACTGAAAAAAGTCTGGAAAACTGGTTTCAGGTTGGCTCAAATCTGAAAACCAGTTCAAGCTTTTTAAACAGTTTAATCTGGATTCTTTTCCACTGAAACAGAAATGAAACAAAGTTTCAAGATGACATAATTTAGAGATAGAAAATTGAAATTACTCAGAATGCCAGAATTAAATTTAATTTTTCATTTGAACAAAAGTTTTTTCTCAAAGTGAGTTGCTGAATTTTATTGGTAGTTGTAAATATTTCTGGTTGTTCTTGCACAGGATTTTGCATCTGAAAACACTTGTTTCATTCCAGTACCGTGCCTGTCTTGCTGAAGGTGAAGTACTGGGTACAACTACTCTGTAATCAAGTCAGTGAGGACTGATGATGGTTGGCGTATTGCCAGCTCATGGTACTAAGCAACATTTCAGCATAAAAATAACATTGAAGAAATAAGTTTTTAGTCTGGAAGCAACTTCTGAAATCCTAACATAATCCACCTATGTATTTTGTTGTAACAGTGATTCAGATCGGACATAAACATGCACTAATGTAATTGGGAATTTTGCAACTGTTTTCTCATATAGATTATAGAATTTGAACTTAAGCTATGGGTTGTCATTTAGTCTTTCAATCATCATTTCTTTCCTCCTTCCTTACAGTAAAAATTCTGGAGATGTTTAAATTTGCTTGTAACTTCCATTAAATTCTTATGTGACTTAGAAGAAAATGCAAATAAAGCAACTTGAGAGCAAAACGTGTAAAGATAATGCCTGTGTTTCTATAAACTCTGTCTTGCATGTTTTCCTCAGATACACATTCACTGGAATTTATACCTTTGAATCACTTATTAAAATTCTTGCAAGGGGCTTCTGTTTAGAAGATTTTACATTTCTTCGAGACCCATGGAACTGGCTAGATTTCACTGTCATTACATTTGCGTAAGTCTTCTACCTTTTTTTTAATAGAAAAAATGTTCCTGCTAGCATGAAATTAGTGACTAAAAATTGCCTCATATTTTGTCAGCCAGAACATTTGGAGCCTGGACTTCCTGCGGTTTCAATATGTTTCTTCTACCTCTTTTACACATTTTAGTATTTCTAACTAAGCATGTGCTGCAGAGGCCAGCATAGTGTGCCAGCACATTAGGACTGTGAATGCCATCAGCCTGAACTGTTCATATCCTGTCTCCTTTCTGCATACCAGAATAAAAGGAATCCTTTTGACTTCCTGCTATAAGATGACCAAATTTCAAACATCAAGTCAATGTGGTTTATTTTGATAAAACTTAATTTAAATTTGTGGTCAGAAGCATATTTATAACACAGGCAAAATACAGTGAACGGTGAAGAGGTCTTTATCAAAGACCCAAGCAAATAGGATAAAATCTGCCTCAATTCTGAGTAACTGTGGTTTAATCCTACAGGTATGTAACAGAATTTGTAAACCTAGGCAATGTTTCAGCTCTTCGAACTTTCAGAGTATTGAGAGCTTTGAAAACTATTTCTGTAATTCCAGGTAAGAAGTAGTTGGTGTAAGGTGTTAGGCCCCTCATATCTCCAACTGTTACTTGTGTGCTGTCATTGTGTTTGTGTGTGAACTCCCCTATTACAGATATGTGACAGAGTTTGTGGACCTGGGCAATGTCTCAGCGTTGAGAACATTCAGAGTTCTCCGAGCTTTGAAAACAATATCAGTCATTCCAGGTGAGAGCTAGGTTAAACACTGAGGCTGACTTTTGTTCTGCAAAGGCTATACTCATGTTTTTAAAGCATAAGCCTTGTTTGCTACACATTGTTAACAAAATAAAAAAGCAGGAATTAAGACATGTAATTTTACTTAAACTGATTCTTGCTTATATTAGTGGTATTTTTCTTAAAAAAAAAATCAGCCTTTGAGTTTAACAAATTCTTGCATGAGATACTTGCAGTAAACAGCCTATGTGATTTGCATCTGATGACATCAAGCTTTCCTTTACATGTTTTAAACGTTAATTTTAAGCTTTCATACTGATGCAAATTTTATCATTTATTGCAGGCACTTGATATAGCAACTTAATTCAGTTTTAAGTCATGTATAAAAAATTAAACTCTAAAGGATAGCATGGGCCATGCATGGGGTATTGTTTCAAAGATGTCTTTCTTCTCCAAACCATCACCCCTCTTATATTGTAAGATGATTATTATATCATTCAAATATGCACTTATAATGTCTTTATAATGGGTTTACTAATGCAGAATATTTAAAAGGTTCATTTAAGAAAGGTTTGGGCAAGAAGCATCAGCAAAAGTAAATGATGCTTTTCTATGTAGGGTTGAGATATAGCATGAATAATAAAATCACTTATTTTGGCATAAACAATGTGTTTGGTATTATCTACTTTTTATTTCTGTACACTATAAAATAAGCATAAACTTACAGCTTTTCATTCATCTTCACAAGTAATAAGGCTTTTTGTGAAAATTATTGTATCACAAATACTCAACTCAGTTGTCATTTTGCATGAAATCTTTATCTTGTCAGGAAAAATCACAATTTTTTGTTTGTTTGTTTTGGTGTTTTACGTCTGTTTAACGCCATAATAAAAATCTTTTCCCTTTGCAGGCTTGAAGACAATCGTGGGCGCCCTAATTCAGTCTGTGAAGAAGCTGTCAGATGTTATGATCCTGACTGTATTTTGTCTGAGTGTATTTGCACTAATAGGGCTGCAGCTGTTCATGGGCAACTTGAGGAATAAATGCCTGCAGTGGCCTCCAGACAATTCTACATTTGAAACAACTGTTATTTCCTACTTTAATAGCTCTATAGGTGAAAATGGCACATTTATTAATATGACAATGACAACATTTAACTGGGATGATTACATCGAAGACAGAAGTAAGAGTTAATTATATCACCTACTGCATTGATATTCTGGATTTTTTTAAAACAGAAACATAAGCATCAGTATCTTTTCATGACATTTTAAATGGTGTAATCTGGCCAAGAGACAAAAAAGCACTTATTTTGTATATTAAATAAAAGAACAGTCATAATGCAGTTTAACATGCTTATAATACTGTACTGGGTACCAAAATATCTTTTTACTGAGTATGACTTCTAGAGTAAAACCACATGGTAGCACAAAGCAGAAATTTCTGTGCTAGCTTCAAGCCTCCTGAAATAGTGTGACTGTCCTAATATGGGATCTGAAATCGTATAGCTAATTTGTGCAAGATACCATTGAATATCATAAATCCCCATTTGAGCATCAGTTAGCTCATGAATCTTGCCATAGCATGTAAATGCAGCTGCATTGCTTCTTTTGGAACTTGGTCACCACAGCACACTCCCATGTGCAGCACAGACATACCTTCATGAGAATACTAGTGATTTATGCCATGCTTCTTATTATACTAAAATAATAACTATATTCCATATTATGTGTCTTTTACTTTGCTTCTTATCTGTGGAAAATCAGGAGATTAGCATTTTGGTCTCCTATGTTACCTCATAATACAGTATTTTCACCATTTTAGATAGCTAATGTCAATACTGTGTTAAAAGAAATTATTTTAAAATACAGATACTGAAAGTATCTATAGTAGCTTGCTATTCTGTCTTTCATAATGGTAAATAGCCTCAGAAGCTCCTATTTATTTATTCAGTCCCTCCTATTTATTTTAGTGGAATTAGGGTTTTAACTTTATAATTAGGCATGATCTTACTTTTTCCTAAAGGCTGTATAAATCTTGTAACTAACAGCTGTACCACTGAAAGTTAGGGAACCTCAGTTTAACAGCTAAATGCTTTTGGATCCAAGTCTCATTGCCTTATAATCTTCTAATATACTTATCATCTTAGCATACTCATAGTATCATAGAAATGTCATCTTGGAGATTTTGGATGATAACATATTTTTAAAAACATTCCAAAACAGATTCCGTTCCCTTTTAGCTGCTTCTGGTACTACAGCATACAAATAGAAAGTTTTTTCTAAATATCTGACCTAAATTTTCCGAATTTCAGACTGAATATATTACTGCTTCTCCTGTGGATTTAGAAATAAGATAAATCATAGACTATATTAGTCTTTATGATACTTTAAAACCATTATCTTCTGTATTTCTGGTCTTTTCTAAACCAAGCAATCCTATTTTGTTTTGCATTTTCTATACATCTTTCCACTTTTTTTTTTTTCCCCTCTTTCAGAATCTTTCCAATTAGTCTGGGATTTGGGGTATGTTGGGAGGTTTTTTGCTATGGTCCTTGTTCGTTTGGGGGTTTTTTATGAGATGATACTCAAATTGTACTTACTCCTCTAACAGAGGTACAAATTAGAAGTAATTACCTTATGTGCCGTATATGCAACATTCTTATTAAAACATCTCAAAGTTGAATAATTTTTACATCAGCACTGTATTGTTGATTCACAGTCAGTTTGTGGTTTGTGACTGTCACTGCATTTTTTTGTACAGCAGAGGCTGTGGCCAGATCCTGCCTATTTTGCATTTACGTATTTGATTTTGCCTTGTCAACTGTAGCATTTTCTACTTGTCTCTGTTGAAATAAATCCAATTGCTTTTGGACCAGCTTGTCAGTTTGTAAAGGTCATTCTAAATTTCAATCATCTTCTCTTCTAGCTTGATGTCTTCAGAATACTTGATGCATTTTTTTCTATTATTTCATGTCTTGAGTTGGTAATGAAACTTGTTATGAAAACTGTGTATAGCACAGATCCCTGGAGGATCTTCAGAAAGATGCCCTTACGAACTGACATTGAGCCACTGGCAACTGCCCTCCAAGAATCTTTTTTCAAGTATTTTGTGATGATTCCAGCCAGAACATATGTCCTTTATTTGCTTATGAAAGTGTACAACTTGCACCTATGACTGTTGTCCTGTTATTAAGTTGGCAGGAGATGGGAATAGTTTTCATACATGGCATATATTTTACACACACATATTGACTATTTTTATTACTTTATCATCTTTGTATTGAAAAATTTATTATTTAAATGTTTTCTAAAACAGGGGTCTGAGAGCTGAGTTGACTGGATGGTTTAACTGGATCCTCTGCTTACCAGAGGAGGAACCGTGTCACATAAGAATGTGAATTAGGCCTACAGACAATTTTGAAAATCCAGCTTGGAGCCTATCTATCTGCATCTTTATGCTTTTTAAGTAGGGTTTAGCTCCCTCACAGGGTTTGATTGTGTGAGTTCCAGAATGTCTGAAAATCTACTGGTTTCTTATATGATACCTAAGAATATGCATATGCAGATGCATAAGTTATGCACATAATCTCTCTCTCTCTTTAAAATAAGCAGATTTTATGCTGTCTCTATCATATACTGGTGGTGACAGAATAGAAGCAGTCAATAGGAACTGGTTGCAATTCCCTGCTTGTCTCTTCAGCATTAGCCCTCAGTTAGTTGGTGCCAGCTAAGCTAGTCCATGCCAGCTGGCAGTGAATCTCAAGGAACCATCTGCTTCCTGGGAACAGCCAGAACATACCTAATTCTGGCAATGTTAGCTTAATATGCCACCTGACCCAAAAATCTCCACTAGAGATTCCCATTTTACCACAAGAATCCCAAACTGGGAATTAATGGCAAGATGGTTTTCCCTTTCTGCCTCAAAGCACAACAAAGAAAAGAATGTGCCAGAGGCTTTTAAGACTTCCACCTCTTTAAATTATATTTTACTTAATTTTAGTAGTTAGCCTTTTAACAAAATACATATAGACACTTCAAGTACATTCCTCTGCTATAGAATTTTGTGTAATAATTTTTTGTAATGTACAATAAAAGCTTGGTTTCTTCCTCAGCTGCTGAAATCAAGATCCAGTTAGCAATTTCTTGTGCATGCTGTGTTATCTTTCCAAGCTGAAAAAAATTCAGTAGTTTCTTAAGTAATATTTGGATAAAATAGCATGTAATTAATAGTTATAAATGAATAAATGGCATATATCAAAACGCATGAGCAAAGGCAGGGTATCAACCTTATCCTTTGTCTTGTTTTTCTGGTATTCACTCATTTGCTGACATACACAATTCAGTATTCTACCCATTGTATCTTACTCATTTGGGTAGGTTACTGAGAATTAGCTGTACAACTACCTTGCGATTTTCTAAAGGCCAACTTCAAGGTTCTATAGGAAGTAATTTTCCTGTCAAAACAGTATTTTCCATGTTTGCTTTCATTCCTAATCGTTATATATTGTGGTTAAACTGTTTGTTAGCTCTGCTTATTTCTTTAAAGTGTTATATCATTGCTCAGTTTTAATTATGTATAAATAATGTCTTATCACTTTTTTTTTTTTTTTTTTTTTTTGGTTTTCGTTTGGTTTGGGGTTTTGGTTTGTTTTCTTTTTTATTTTTTAAACAGGTCATTTCTACTTCTTGGAAGGCCAAAATGATGCTTTGCTATGTGGCAATAGCTCAGATGCAGGGTAAGAAAACTATCGTCATTTTTCATTATACATCAAGAAAAAACAGTTAGCTTCTTAGAATAGCTCAGGTGGTCAACTCTAGTATCAACTTTAGCAGAGAGTTGCAAATTGCTGATGTTTTGCAATTGAAGCTATACTGAAATATAATTATCTATGTGATTTGAGTTTACACAGGCACTTTTGTCAGCGTCTTAGGCTAATTTTGTAAAGGTAACCACATGAATGCTATGTGCATGAATGTTGCTGCCAGCTTGCTGGCAACTGTTTATCATGAGCCATGCTAGTTGACATTCTTTTGTCCTAGTGGAGATGTGTTGATATGACAAATTTTGGGGAAGGGTAGATTACTTTTACTTATTTATTAAAGCATTGAAATATCATTAGGAAATGGAATTAAAATTGAAAAGCAATAAGATAATAGTTTTATTTTAGATATTTAGAATAAAACTTTACTTGTTCATAATTTCATTACCAACTGGTACTCCTGAACAATTTTGTGATTTACTATAGCATATCGTAATTTAGAGTAGTTGTTAAAAATAGCATTTCCTCTTCTTTTGTAGTCAATGTCCAGAAGGATATATATGTGTGAAAGCTGGTAGAAACCCCAACTATGGCTACACAAGTTTTGATACATTCAGTTGGGCATTCTTGTCACTGTTTCGATTGATGACTCAGGACTTTTGGGAGAATCTTTACCAGCTGGTGAGGACTTATTAAAATAAACAGCACCATCACCAATACCATTACTACATAGTACTTGTATAGTTATTTTCATTCATGTGTCCCTAAGGCCTTTAGGACAGAAATCATCTTTTATTTCATATATAAGTGGTCTAAAACAACAGGGCCCTTGTTAATGATTTAGGTTCCCGTGTGCTACTCAAATATATAGTAAGAAATAGCAGCTATTTCATTAAGGTGGTTAAGCATTATGGTTTGTTTTCACAAATGAGTAAATGAACTTATGTTTTTAAAGCTTCTTACCCAGACATGCTCTAAATAGATGCTAGTTAAATTGATTTGTAGTCTAGTACAAGTATGTTGTCATTGAAAAGGTTAAATCTTGTCTCTGAACTACACATATCCTTAACCTGAAGGACAGTGATGGTGTACAGCGTGACATTTTGTATACTGCACTGTCTTTGTGGCATTGTAGTTTGGGACTGATGAGACAAGAAGGTAAGATGCTGGTTAGTAGCCCCACTACAGTTAGATTTAAAGCTATAATATGAAGATGTAAAGTGGGGGCAGCAACTACTAGTACAGATTCTCATTGGCAGAAGTTCTGAGGTATTCAAGCTACAGGATCTTATTTACCTTGGCCATATCAGACACAGAACTTGGATTTTTGCACATGTAGCCGGGATATAGTACTATTTATATATGGAAAAAAAAAAACTAAATAACCTTGTTGTAACATAAAGCAATCTTATAATGTATTTCTAGATTACAAACCAGATGTTGTCATATTATACAACAGTATTTAAAAGTCTGCTAAAAAATGTGCATTGTCTCTTTTCCTCCAGACACTACGTGCTGCTGGGAAAACATACATGATATTTTTTGTTTTGGTCATTTTCCTGGGTTCTTTCTACCTGATTAACTTGATCCTGGCTGTGGTTGCCATGGCCTACGAAGAACAGAATCAAGCAACCATGGAAGAAGCAGAACAGAAAGAAGCAGAATTTCAGCAAATGCTGGAACAACTGAAAAAGCAACAGGAAGAAGCTCAGGTATCCCTGTAAAATAAAATTCCTTTTGCCATTTATGATGGTGATCGGATGCTTTATGTCCACATATGAGAATACTTTTATTCCCCTACTCCTAGCAATATATTGCCTTCAGTCTTATAAATTCCTTCACTTTGCAAGCAATCTTTAAAGTTTTCCATTGCTCCGTTTCTGCTGGCTTGAGTGAACCTGTTAATTTATGGTGAAAATTATAACCACTAAGCTAAAATGCTGGATTATTAAATTGGAGATGGAAATTAACATTTTACGGAGCCCATGAACAAGTTGCTCAGAGTGCTTGTGGAGTCACCATCCTTGGAGATAATAAAAAAACTGTCTGAACGTGGTGCTGGGAAGCCTGCTTTTGGTGACCCTGTCTGTGCTGGGGAGTTGGACATGATGACCTCCAGAGGTTCGTTTCCAACGTCAACCATTCTGTGATTCTGTGAAATGGAGATGGAAATGTGGGGAAAAAAGCCCCAGAAATTCTGCTTATTTAATAACAGAAGCAAAACTATTATAGGGAGAAATATTTTGCTTCAGCAACATTTGGCTTTTTCTGCTCCTTCCCCAGCTCTCACAGCAAAAAGCCACAGTGTTCCAATTTTAAAGAAAACTAGAAAAAGTGGAGAAACTGGAGAAAACGCTTCTGTGGTACAGGCATCGTGATTGCATACTGCTTTGAAATTCCTTTTCATTTTTTGAAGACTCTGAAATCTTTAATAGGATAATTGATAATGTCTGCTTGGCATGTGGCCACATAGAGCAGAAGTCGAACTATGTCTTCCATGTAAGCACATGACTAGTCAGCAATAGGCATTTCTTGTTTGGTTGATTAGTTGATATCTGGGAATTTTTTACCAAAACTTGTAAATAAATGTTAATCAAGTGCTCCACAAATGTCTGAAACTTCAAAAAGCGACAGGTCTCTAATGGCCTGCAATTTAACTCAAATCACTGATTATGATTTGCAAAACTGAGATTAAAAATGTTATACCAGATCTTTAATAGACTAGAGAGTATTCAAAATCCAGGAAAATGGTGTAAGCAAGTGTAGCTTCCTGTTAATAGGGATTTTTTTTGTTTGTTTGAGCCTTGATTCCTTACTATTTACATAGTATTTCAGGTGAAAAATCCATTACAACATATTGCTCCAATCTAAAACAGATGTTTGTTAACTTGGTTCTCTGACAGCACGGTTTTCCCTTGGGTTGCTCTAACTCCTGGCTTATGGAGCAGTGGCAAATAATGGGTCCTGTGGTATTTCACAAATTTTACTTCTTATGGTATGCTGGGTTTAGTAAAGTGGGATCATTGCTTTTACTTAAAAATCGGGTTTTTTTAAGAATGGCAATAAATTTAAAATAGTGTATGTTTGTATAAATGTTGTAAATTGCGTATGTGCTTGTACGTATAGGCAGCAGCAGCAGCTGCAGCAGCTGACTCAAGAGATTATAGTGGAGTAGGTGGAATAGGTGGATTCTCCGAAAGTTCTTCAGAAGCATCAAAACTGAGCTCAAAAAGTGCTAAAGAGAGAAGGAATAGAAGAAAGAAAAAAAAGCAAAAAGAACAATCTGAAGGCGAGGAGAAGGATGGGGAAGAATTTCACAAATCTGAATCAGAGGACAGCATCAAAAGGAAAGGTTTCCGATTTTCCATTGAGGGGAATAGACTGACGTATGAAAAGAGATTCTCTTCCCCACACCAGGTACCATAGTATTATTACCTCTTAAACACCTTTATTTTCTACTCATCATATAAACAAAACCTTGTAGTTGGGTCAATTCTTGCAAAAGATTTCACAGATTCTTTAATATCTTAATTCAAGCATGACTAAGTTAATACTTGCAGACAAAGATGAAACTGTAAGAATTTGAGAGGTTTTGTTTTTATTCTGCATTTATGTGTAAAGAATCAAAATAATGTGTATTAATTAAAATCAGTCGTATTTCAAGTTTCTTAATGAAAATGGACCTATTTCCCCATCAAGATCAGTGTATTCAGTATGATCAGTAGCTTCAAAATTTGGTGCAAACATAAAAAGGAATTTCATGTTTTAAATGAGAAAAGTATTAAAATCTGAGATGCAAAAACTCCAGTAGAAATTGCATAAATGTTCATGTGAAATTTGACAAATTAATTGATGTGAGACCATTAATCGTGTTATCTTGAAGAAGGTGGAACTATGTGTGGCAATGTGTCCTTGCATGTGTTCTCTTACATTGAAACACCAGTGACTCAGAGTGCCATCTGCATCTCCCGTCCAGACATTTATTTCATTTGATAGTTTTATGTCATCCCTTCTACAGTTTTCAGAGCTCCTTTTCATTTTCCCACCTCTGACTCTCCCCTCAGCACTTCATGTCCAGATCTCACATCCATCCTGTCCTTCTTCTGCTCCTTTGTGTGCCTCAATATGCTTCTTCCTTTTGTCCCCACCTTCTTGATTCTCCCTCATCTTTGGCTTGCTTTCACCTTCTTTTTGGTCACTATTACTAAACTCATTCCTTCCTTTTTAATCCTCTTCTGTTAGAGTCTCTGGAAAGCCTGTTTTGTCCCTAAATAGATCATGAACACTCATATTCTGTTCATGTGTCACTTTCTCCAACTCCCATTCTCAAAGAAGCTGAGACCCCTTCATCCAATACTTTCTTACTAAGAACTGTCCTCCTTAGATCAGACTGTGGTGGGAACCGAATTTTTCTAGCTTCCTATTTCTGCCAAGTTAACTCCTCCTTCTACTTAGTTCCTAACATACTTCGTTTTTTTAGTATACTGCATCCTTCCCTCCTCCCCACCTCCTGCCCTTGGTCTGCCACCATTTTACATTGCTAACTGTTTAACTAACCTCTGTAAGATTTCATTGCTGTATTTAGTTAGTTCATGATTCATTCTGCTCCATATACAGATTTTCACACCTATATCCATTGACTGTGTTGAAGACCCATGTGGTCTCTTAGGTGCATGTCCTTGCTTGTCTTCATTCAAACTGTAGCCTTTTTCAACTGCAGCTCAATTCATCCATCTTGTAAGAAATGAAGCATTCCTCATACAACTTGCTTCTGTTTTACCTTCTCATCTCCAAGTTCATTTACAGCTGTTTACTATGACAGTCTAGCAATCACCTCCCCTGTTTTCCCAACTCTAGTTCCTTTTCACTTTAGATTCTAGCCACTAATCAAATACCACTTGCCAGTTCTTAATAAACTTTTGCTAGACAAAACTCAGATTTATATCTCATCTTTAACTTTTTCCTTGACATTTCATTTGCCTTCAGTGTCCTTGAACTGACTATTATTTTCTCTTGAAAACTTATGCTTCCTAACATTCACAGTTTCATCTCCTATCAATTCTCCTGATTTAGTTCTGCTTTAGATTTTTTTCCCTTTGCAGTTTTCTAAGGGATTTCCACAAGGCCTTTGCTAGTTCAGTTCTCTCTCTCTCTTTTTTTTTTTTTCCTTTTCTTTTTTTTTTTCTTTACTTGACTCTGGACCCACAACTGTGAATCATTTTTTAACTTGGACCTCTTTCCATGTCACAGTTACTGCTGTATGTGAAACACATCAAGAATGTGGTTGCAAGGAACACTGACCTATCTCATTGCTTAACTTAATCTCCTAGTAAACATATCTACCTAAGATATTTTTTTAATACCATAAAACATACTGTGCCTAAAATTCCTCCCAACTCACCTTGTCTACTTAGAGTAAACAAGTCCTGGCTTTGATTGACCCATCCATAACCTCCTGTTAAATTTTCAAACTAGTTTCTTTGAGCTCTTTCTGTTATGCTGCCCTTCATGCTTGGAAAAAGCTCCCATGAGTTTCCACAGAACACTTCATTGCTTTCCTCAAATCCCTCTTTAAAACTCTCTTTTACCATGCTGCCTACAGAAAGCTTGACAGGGAAGTGACTTCAGGTGAGCTAAGACCACTGTTTATCATACCCATCAATTTTGCCTCCTTGTATTCCCTCTCTTTTTGTATCCATCTGTTGTGTTACACTTAGATGATAAATTCTTTGCAGAGTGCCTTTTTGTTCTGCATTTTGCAGTACCTAGAACAATGGGGTTCAGGTCCATAAAGATAAGTTGCAGAAGAGAAACAAAGACACTGCTTTGTTATGTATCATCTCTGCTGTTCATAGAGGTCTTGGTTGAAATCAGATGCTAATGATAATCAATCAAGTCAAGGGAATAACTTGAATTAAAGTTAAGAACATGTATAATTATTTGCAAGCTTAGAGCATTATTTTGACTCTTACCCTGAAAAGATCCTTTCATAACAGAACATTCAGGTACATGAGTAAACTGATGAAGATTAGTGAGACTCCATACAAAATTACAGGCATAATTTAGGATAGCTGAAACTTTAAAAAAAAGAAATAAAACCTTATCATGGCCTACTTGACTAGTATCTGAAAAAATATGGTTTTAAAAATTAGGCAGTTATTGGGAGCCACCTCTGTGCGCAGACTGAGTCATGGGAAATTTGCCTAAAATTTTATTTACTCAGCCTGACAGACTAATGCCAACCTGAGGTAAACAGTGTCTAGATTTGCTTCCTCAGTTTATGAACAGTTGGTAATAAAACAGGCAGAATGGCAGAGGAAACAATTCTGTCAAGCAGTTTCTTTTACTCTAATTAAACCAATTGATTTCATATATCCAAAGTAGTAAAATAACAGTCTTTGTCTGTCACTTATGTGCTCTTTGTTTGCTACCCAAAAGGGAGTGTATTTGGGGGTGATTGTGCCAGTTCATTTCTTTGTAGATAACCTTACCCTTTAAGACATATTGACACTGTGTTTTTTTCCTCTGTATGAAAACATTATATTTGAAAGAATTTTCATTGGATACTCATTGTTTTTATTTGCCTGCAGTCTTTGCTGAGCATTCGAGGCTCCCTGTTTTCTCCAAGGCGCAACAGCAGAACAAGTCTTTTCAGCTTCAGAGGTCGAGCAAAGGATGTAGGATCAGAAAATGACTTTGCTGATGATGAGCACAGCACTTTTGAAGACAATGAGAGCAGAAGAGATTCTCTCTTTGTTCCTCATAGACATGGTGAACGGCGCAACAGTAACATTAGCCAGGCCAGCAGGTCATCCAGGACAGTAGCTCCACTTCCAGCAAATGGGAAGATGCACAGCACTGTGGATTGCAATGGAGTAGTTTCTTTAGTCGGTGGGCCGCCAGCTTTGACGTCACCTACTGGACAGCTTCTGCCAGAGGTGATGATTGATAAAGCAGCCACTGCTAGCAATGTAAGGAAGTCTGCAATAGTTTAGGCATGATGTCTTCTCCCTGTATGATCAGCTACTGTTTTAAAAACATGTAGTCACTTGGGAATGATTCCCATTCTGGCTAAGCTGTGAATACTCCTTTCATATATTCCAGTTATAAGCTAAAGTAAAAACTGAAGTTCTCTAGCTCTCATTACCTAAATATGTGAAAATATATGCTAATTTGCTGGGAATTAAAAGAATAACATAGTAAACCATTGCATAAATGTACCATTACACCCATTGATTTGTTATGCTAACTGAAGACTTAACTGGAAGGTTCTGTATTTGTATATTAGACAGAATATCAAAATGAAAAAAATATAAAAAATAATTATATTTACTTAATGGAATATATTAAATGAGTATTCAACTTCACACTGACTATGTATGAAACTTTTCATGTAAGACTGATAGTACATCTTACATGGGTTGTGATAGTGTTCCTGTAACATAGGTAATTTTTGTAGGGATTTTTTTTTTTTTAAAATGTCAACATTATTAAATTTTTTTTCTTTTATTTTGTTTGAAAGCATGTGCTAGGAAATCGATAATTTATTCTAAATTAAGAATTATCTTAAGAAAATACACTTACTCTTTGTGCTTTTACTGCTAGCTGTGTGGGCTGTACTTTCCTGTGTTTAGAAAAAGACCTCACTGCCTAATTAGAAAGATATTTATGGCAGACCACATTGACAAGCATTGTGGAACTTTTTATAGTCTAAAATCTGTTTTAATGCCTCAGCCCGGTTGCAGCAAAATACTTGAAAACATATTCTTTAAGCACAAGAGCAATGCTACTGATGTATTGACCATTTACTATATACAAAATTAGGCAAACATTAGGCTATTGCAAAACTGCAACATAAGTAGAGCATGGTGCAGAAAAGCAGAATGTTTTAAAATATTATATTTCTATAATGATTTACAGTATTATTCTTATTAAATTAACAATCAATAGGCTATTTTATCAGTGTTTTATTTTCAGGGCACTACTACAGAAACTGATTTAAGAAAGAGACGGTCTAGTTCTTATCATGCTCCTATGGACTACTTAACAGATCCTAGTGCAAGGCAAAGAGCCATGAGTATAGCCAGCATGCTTACAAACACAATGGAAGGTATGTAACACGGAATTTTTTATGACAATACCATGAAGTGCTATTAAATGTATGCTAAATTAAGTAGTAGTGGTATTTTATGACAGCTATTTAAGCCTAAAAGGTACAGGTAAGATGAGATTTGTATACAGAGGTAGTAGGTTTTTTTTTTCAAAGATGGAATAATATATTTGGAAAAGCAGACAAGCTTTCAAAATACTAGTAGGCTTGAGGAGGAAGCAGTAAACTTCCAAGTTAAATGCAAGCAGAAGGTGATTGGTCAGTGGAGAGTTTCTCTAGAAACGTTATGTTTTGCTGAAAAAGCTCTTTTTAGATTACTGAAATGGCTATGCTTCTTGCAGTAGAACAATCCCCTTCTGCCAACTGAACAGACATGCTGTTTCACAAAGGAAGGATCACGTTGTTTTCTCTGTAAGGCTAAATACAATGAATCTGAATCATGGAATTAAGTGACTAGTTGTAAGAAAGGGCAAACATTACTTCGAAGCTTAAACAACTACGCCAAAAATAGCAAATAGGAAGGAAATAATGAGCAGTTTTGCACACGTGAACCATAATGCTGTCTAAATAGTTGTCTGAGTTCAGGTTTGTTCTGTTTATCTTTCAGGAGGAAAGTGAAATATTTTTTGCATTCTAGGTATAGAATCATAGAAGGTTTTGGGTTGGAATGGACCAACTAGATAATCTAGCTCCAACCCCGCTTCCACAGCCAGAACACTTTCCACTAGATCAGGTTGCTCTAAGCCCCATCCAACCTGGCCTTGAACACTACCAGGACTGGGGCATCCACAACTTCTCTGGGCAGCTGCTTCCAGTTGCAACCTCAGCATAATGAATTTCTTCCTAATATCTAATCTAAATCTACCCTTTTTCAGTTTAAAACTGTTACCCCTCATACTATCCCTGTCCTACCTGATAAAAAGTCCCTACCCATCTTCTCTGTAGTCCCACTTTAAGTACCAGGAGGCAGCTCTAAGCCTTCTCTTCTACAGGCTGAACAAGCCCAACTCTTCCAGCCTGTCTTCGTAGGAGAGATGCTCCAGCCCTCTGAGCATCTTCATGGCCCTCCTCTGGACTTGCTCTAACAAGTTCACATCCTTCTTATGCTGGGGACCCAAGACCTGAATGCAGTATTCCAGGTGGGGTCTCACCAGGGCGGAGAGGAGAAGAATCACCCCTCTCAACCTAATGGCTTCTTGTGATGCAGCCCAGGATGAGATTGGCTTTCATGGCTGCAAGTGCATATTGCCAGATCATATTAAGTTTTTCATCCACCAATACTCCCAAGTCTTTCTCCGCAGGGGTGCTCTCAATCCACTCGTTGCCCAGCCTGTATGCCAGATTTCTAAGACAAATTTTTATTTTGCATCCTATGTAGCATTTTCTTGTGAAAAGTTTTTTTATTTGTTTGTGAATATTTAGTATTCTTTTTACATCAAATTTAAAACAGTGGGATAGATTGTTTTTAATTGTAATTTATTTTGACTGGCAGTAGCCTTTGTTTCAAAATATCTATAATATCAACATGGTTTATCAACAATACCTTAGAAAACAGTATTTAGGACTCAAAGAAATACCCAGGTTATACTGGAATAGAGAAATATGTTTAAAATCTTATATTCTTTCTTTTTTCTCTCTAGAATTGGAAGAATCCAGACAGAAATGCCCACCATGCTGGTATAAATTTGCTAACACTTGCTTGATTTGGGACTGCTGTACTCCCTGGCTGAAAGTCAAACATATTGTAAATTTGATTGTGATGGATCCATTTGTTGATCTGGCTATTACTATCTGCATTGTCCTAAACACCCTATTCATGGCAATGGAGCACTATCCAATGACAGAACAATTTAGTGGTGTGCTTTCAGTAGGAAACCTTGTAAGTCTTTCATTATGTGCCATGTATGTAAAATACATTTTTCTTAAATAATTCTTCTGTGACTTATGTACATATATTTAAAGAAAATGTTGACTAGTCCTTTATATGCTTGGGATCACTGAAGTTATATTTAAGCTGTACTGAATCCCACTTCATTGACATTTGTGAGTTTTGCAACTCTTGCTTTGTGGAGCAAAAGATACTAAGATTTGTTAAGTCAGTATGCATTTTGACTTTTAAAACCTTCAGCTTCTGTCATTGAAGCTGTTCAAAGGAATTTGTCTTTTTTTTCCCTTGGATGGATACTTTCAAATCATAAGAACTTTCAGTTCCATTCTCACGCCTGTTCTGCTCTTCATAAGGTCCTGGGCGTTCAGGGAATTGTAGAGGGGAAAGATGCCATAAGCATGGCAGATTCACTGCAGCTCCACAGGAAATGGTGAAATGGCATGACAGTGTCTTCTGCAGGTCATCCTGAAGAAAACCAGTTCTGCTCAACTTTCAGTATAATTTTTTTTATTGATAAAATAATTGTCCCTCTCATAAACATATCTTTGTCCCTAGAAGCAAAAAGATGTCCCAAGGGCAAAGATGAGATCTAAGGAGCAAAAACTAAGCATTAAAATCAGAGGAGATTCAGTATTAATACATGCATATGAGCAGGCTAGGTAAAAATAATACTTTTCCCAATTACCTCTTCTCCTTTGGAAACCAAACATTGTGATGCATATGTAAGCTTCAGATTTGAATTTAATTCCTAACCCCAATGTATGTCAATATAAAGAAGCTATTAAGATTTATCGTGGATTGCTTGCTGAAGATATAACTTACCAGAAGTTGATACTATTAGTTTGGGGAAGGGGGTAATATTTTCTCATTAAACTGGAATAAGAAACTGTATTTTCCTTGCAGGTGTTTACTGGAATTTTCACAGCAGAAATGTTTCTCAAGATAATTGCCATGGATCCTTATTATTATTTCCAAGAGGGCTGGAATATTTTTGATGGTTTTATTGTGAGTCTTAGTTTAATGGAGCTTGGCCTTGCAAACGTAGAAGGACTATCTGTCCTTCGATCATTCCGATTGGTAAATATACTAAATAAACTATGTCGATATGTTGTATTTTTGTATTTCTGCATGCATGTTGCACATTTTTAGTTTGTACATTATATATTTGGTTAAGACAGAAGATTATTTCAGAAGAAATTACAAAATACTAAATTTCATACTCACTAAATGGCATGTATCTGTTATGTTAAATTTGTTTTACGTATTATCTTAGTAACGTCTGTTTCTTCTTCAAGACATTTTCAGCATTGGTTCTGTTCTTGCAGTGAGTGTGCTTTAAGGATTAACTTTTTGTAACAGTTGTATCTCAGAGTCTTTTTCTCTTTAGGTGAGGGAATAAAAAATGCAAGAGCCACAGGCCCTCACTACCTGTGACTGAAGATTTTTCAATTGTTTAGTAAATAATGGATTAGCTAATGAAAGTTTATGGACTGTTTTATCTGATAGACTTCCATTACCAGTTGGCTTACATGGTTAGTTTTAGAAGAGAGTAGTGTTAAGATTTTTCTTTGGATAAAGATTTTTCATCACTACCAGCCTTCTCTTTATCATCCTCTGCAAGGGTCCATCTGTCTAACAGCTTTTCTGTTATAGAAGTCACTACATTATTGCTATCTGTATGAAATATCTCTGTCATGAATAGGAACTTGAAAAACTGGTTTTGCCAAAGACTAGGATAGCATGCAAGTTGATGTTCACATTCTCTTCTGAAAAGACCTACACAGTAAGAGACAAGAAGTTACAGTTCCTATTCATCAAGCTCAGCTTTTGCCTAAATAAAGCAAAAAACATTTAACTTTCATTTAAAGTTACATAAACCCCCTTTAAAAAAAAAAAGGATGAGATTTAAATTCACCCATTTGCTGGTTCTCTACATAGCATTACATTGTGTTTTGGCTGAAGTCTAATATCTGTCTGGATTGACTTCTCTCTCAGTAATAGAGTTCTCTTTTTAACTTTCACATATCCGTTTTATTTACATGTCATCCCATGAAATAATATTTAGATTTAGATTCATTTTATATTCTACTCTTTCAATTGTCTGAACTCTAGCTGTATATTTCCAAATAATTTCATTTTTGTCTGTTTTGTTTAATATAATGCTTTCCTTTGGTTTTCTCAGTGTTGTATGAAAAACTTTTTCAGACACTTTTTTTGCTTATATTAAATGACAGAAAATACATTGTTAGATAGTTGTGAGTAACTTCTATGCCTGTCATTAACAAGTCTAGCTTGTTTCTCTTTCTAGGAAAACTATTTCTTCCATCTCTCTGCCACTGAAGATGAAAGAGATCTGGAAGTGTCTATACACTTACAATCCTGTTAAACTGATCACATTTCATATGTGCTGGTTTATTTTTAGTAATATTCCCTTAGACACTAAAGGAGACTATTTTGTCCAACAAGTACAACTTGTTTTTAGGTATTTACAGTCACCAGAAGAGTCAAAGTCTGAATAGGAGACTTTTGTGATAATTACAGTGTAATTGAAATGAGCATACAGACAATATTTTTGATTGCTTATGACTGCTGATGTCTAGTATTGTGCAAAAAACCTAGAAACAAATTTTGTAACTGAAGTTTCTGAAGGTTACATGAGACATGATTTAGACACAGGGTAACTGAAATATGAAATGTATAGCAATGATTTCGTTACAATTAGTAACATGAATAACTGCATACTGTTCTTCTGTTTTGCAGCTTCGAGTTTTCAAATTGGCAAAATCTTGGCCCACTCTAAATATGCTGATTAAGATTATTGGCAACTCAGTGGGGGCTCTGGGGAATCTGACCCTGGTGCTGGCCATCATTGTGTTCATTTTTGCTGTGGTTGGGATGCAGCTGTTTGGGAAAAGCTACAAGGAATGTGTCTGCAAGATCTCCAGTGACTGTGAACTTCCACGCTGGCACATGCATGATTTTTTCCACTCTCTGGAGGGGGAGACATTTGTGCTGTGCTCTGATTGTATTCCGAGTGCTGTGTGGAGAATGGATAGAAACGATGTGGGACTGCATGGAGGTTGCAGGCCAAACTATGTGCCTTACTGTCTTCATGATGGTCATGGTGATTGGAAACCTTGTGGTATGTAATCAGTAGATTTTTTTAAAAAGTATTAGAATGTATTTCCTGCTTTTCATGATTTAGAAATCAGAGATGAAGACTAGAGAAGGAATTTAGGAAATCATGTAATTCATTTGCCCTTTCTTTATACCAGGTTCAAATCATAGAATCATAGAATGGTTTGGATTGGAAGGGACATTAAAGATTATCTAGTTCCAACCCTCCTGCCACAGGCAGGGACACTTTCCACTAGACCAGATTGCCCAAAGCTCTGTCCAACCTGCTCTTGAACACTGCCAGGAAAGGAGCAGCCACGACTTCTCAGGGCAACCTGTTCCAGTCTTGCCACACTCACAGTGAAGAATTTCTGCCTTATATCTCATCTAAATCTACCATCTTTCACTTTAAAGCCATTACCCCTTATCCTACACACTCTTGTAAAAAGTCCCTCTCTAGCTTTCTTCTAGGCTCCCTTTAGGTACTGGAAGGCTGCTATCAGGTCTCTCCTGAGCCTTCTCTTCTCCAGGCTGAACAACCCCAACAGCCTTGATGATTTATGAAAAATGTTTGTCTACTTTTTCTTTTAAATCTTCAGTGAGTTTACAACCTCTTTAAGATCAGTGCTGAATTATGGTTATAGTTAAAAATGCCTTTCAAAAAAACATCTAACTTCAATCACCTGTTACAACCAATTAAACTGGTCTCAATAGGGGTGAAAAACAGTTGGTCTTCATGACAACATTTATAATACTTAAAGGCTGAAAGTTTCCACTTTTCGTCTTTTCTTTCTGAAACAAAGTCAGTCCAGCTGTTCAATTTTTTTCTTATAGGTGCTGATTTCTAAACTACTTCTCCCTTTTGCTACTGGCCTCTGAATTCCTCTCAAGCAGCATATTAGATAGAGATACAAGTACCAGATAATGTGGAATAATTATACTCCCACGTCTTACACCCAACATTCTTTATGGTACATCCCCCATGACACATGACATTTCTGTACCAGCGTTGTTCTTTGATGCAGCCTATATGCCCTTTTCTGCACTGCTTCCACCTTGCCAGTTTTCACACCTTCTGTATACGTAGTTTTCATTTTTTGCAGCCAACATTTCCACTCCAGTACTACAGAATTAAATGCCATATTAATTTTGAATCATTTCACCAATTTACATGCTTATGCCTAATTAGAGTTTTTTCTTGTCAAGTGCTAGCATCCCTTCCCTTTTTAGTCTCATCCACAAATTTTATAAATATGCTCATTCATAGACATACATACAAAGTTTAACTGGACTAATGTGACACTCCTGTGGTATACCTTCTAAAATATTCCACAATTTTGAACAGGAAGAATTGAGAAATATAATTTAAATATTATTATTGATCAGTTTTGCATATAGTCTGTCATAATTACATGTAGTCTAAATTTCTCTTGTATGTTTGTAAAACATGTCATGCAAGAAAGTCTGAAATAGTTTCCTAAAATTGAGGTGTATCACATCTGTGTACTTTTTATCTCTTCCCTAGTTCACCTGCCCAAAGCAAAAATAGACTCATATATTTTTGGCAGATACAGAAGTTTATTATATTCTGAATTAGAGACACCAAAACTATGGTCTGTTGAACTGAGGTCTGCCTGTGTGCCCCTCACCTGTGAACACTACAGCAAATGTAGCTTCCATAAATTACTATGTCATATTGTATCCTGCTTCCTTATGTCATTCTCCATTTTGAGGAGCAGACCTGTGCTACTTGCAATGTGGAGGAGAAAGTCAAGGAACAGATCAGATTTTCACATATATTAGTCAAGCTAAAAATGGTTTTGGCAACTTATACTGAAATATGGGGGACAGGTATTATGAACTGGAAACAACAGCAGAAGGGTGGGTTGAAATAAAGTATTAGCTGTAAAACAAAAAACATGTCCTGTTAAACAATCTGTAGTGGAATTACTTTTGTGACCTAAGAATAAGAGATCCAGTACATTTTTTTCTTACTGTCTTGTAGGTACTCAACCTCTTTTTGGCCTTGCTGCTGAGCTCATTTAGTTCAGACAACCTTGCTGCTACCGATGATGATAATGAAATGAACAATCTCCAGATTGCTGTGGCAAGGATTCAGAAGGGAATAGATTATGTGAAGAGAAAAGTGCGTGAATTTATCCAAAAAGCCTTTGTTAGAAAGCAGAAAGTTTTAGATGAAATCAAGCCTCTTGAAGACCTAAACAACAAAAAAGACAGCTGTATTTCCAACCACACTATAGTAGATATAGGTAAAAACCTTGCCTATCTTAAAGAAGGGAATGGAACTACTAGTGGCATAGGCAGCAGCGTGGAAAAATATGTTGTTGATGAAAGTGATTACATGTCATTCATAAACAACCCAAGCCTCACTGTGACAGTGCCAATCGCTGTTGGGGAATCAGATTTTGAAAATTTAAATACAGAGGAGTTCAGCAGCGAGTCAGACCTGGAAGAAAGCAAAGAGGTAAGACTATTTCTATATTTAAAATATTCTGATGCTTTTCTTTATTTCCTAAGGTTACTATTGTTGAATCCAGATCTCTATTGAATTCCTGTATAACAGTGTATACAGGCTTGTAATGGTATTTCAGGTAAATTGATGGAACATTGTGAGAACTAAATGAGATGGTAGTACAGTATTGCATTTACTGTAATGAGCAAGATGCATCTGACAATTCTTTAGAAAATTCATACTTTTTTCCCTATTTTATTTAGTTAAATCATTAACAAGAAAATGAACCTATTTAATAGCCCTGGATACCAGAAGTCTTACAACATGTGTGTGGGTTGTGCAAGTTTCTGTATGCTTATTTCATAAGTGCAGTTTATCTACTCTTTTGTCTGCTTTCTGGAGTGCCTCCTGTCAAATTAGTAGTTCATTCTGATGCTTTTAACCTTTTTGATATAGTCAAATGCATCTAGATACATCATAGGTACATTTGAATACTGGACCAGTATCACTAAATGATTTCATGTAAATCACTAATAATCCATCTGATAGTAGCAGAACCACTGAAGAAGTGAAGTAATGGCCTTATGGTAAAAAAGTTATGAAGCTTTATTTCTCAGTGTTAGGTCCTTTCATATGGCAATCCATTGTCATTTTCAAAGATTTAAGATACTTGAATCTGTTACCTGTTGTGACTGTAATAGAATGTACCTCTTTCTGGCACAATGTGGTGCCAAATGGGCACATCCAAGTGAGCACTTAGTGAGTTACAGTGGATGCTGAAGCCATTATTATCATGTTAACCCAATGCCCTGTCCTGCACAATTGTACATGGTGGAGGCACACCCGCTCAAGTGCAGTAAATCTGTGGTCTGCTTAGTACCAATACGAGTTCGTTCAGCATTAGCATTGGTATTTTTGAACACTATTGCATGCTACAGTGTAGATATAAACTAACATAAAGGTTTTCATAAGTGATTGCCTCATGCTTGAAGGTATAAATATGGATAAGATTCTAGTAATTCTCACCCTGAAATCCTTTTTTGTACAGACTGCAATACTCAGTCATATTTTCTTGTTTCTTATTAAACATGTCTTTATTTTTCTTTTAAAAATATTTATTTTTGTAGATTGTGTTAGTATTTATCTTACTCTTCAAAACCATGATTTGGGTGTAGAACAAAGTGGAAGTTATTGTAGTTTAATTGTTGCATGTAATGAAGAGGGTGATTATATGAAAGTTTCTTGGTCTAAATATAGTATTTTTGTTGATTCTATTCTATCTTTGTACACAGGATAAAAAAAGGAATCTTCTTCAGGCAATTTTACACCACATAGGGCTACTGCATTGTTCTGTTCTTCCATTGTTCTGCTGTTCTCTTGTTTTATTGTCCTATTGTTAACTGTTTCAAAACTTACTGCTGCCAAAGGAGTAGCAAATTCTACTGCTAATGTCCTCAAATTCCACCTATCAGTGAGATCATCCATAATGACTACATATGACAGCAATGGCACAGGTTATTTTCCTTTTTGTATATCACGTAGTTTCTTGGTATAAGTATGGTCCTTCTAGGTTTGTTCTTTTTTCCTGCAAACCATGTTCAGGTCTATCTATCACTTTCAGCCTTCTCCCTGTTTAGCAACTAGTGATAGCCAGAGGATGTACTGGAAGTTGAGGAATAAAGTATCTTAAGTTGGAGAATAAAGTGTCTTAAGTTGAAGTTTAGTACTAGGAAACAGAATCATAGAATCATGGAATAGTTAGGGTTGGAAAGGACCTTGAGATCATATAGTTCCAACCCCCCTGCTATGGACAGGGGCACCTTGCACTAAACCATGTCGCCCAAGGCTCTGTCCAACCTGGCCTTGAACACTTCCAGGGATGGAGCATTCACAACTTTCTTGGGCAACCCATTCCAGTGCCTCACCACCCTCACTGTGAAGAACTTCTTCCTTATATCTAACCTAAAGTTCCCCTGTTTAAGTTTGAAGCCATTACACCTTGTCCTATCATTACAGTCCCTGATGAAGAGTCCCTCTCTGGCATGTACTGTATTGAGCACTAACAGCTATAGGTAAGCCTTCGCTTCTCCAGGCTGAACAGCCCCAACTTTCTCAGTCTGTCTTCATAAGGGAGGTGCTCCAGCCCCCAGATCATCCTCGTGGCCCTCCTCTGGACTTGCTCCAGCAGTTCCATGTCCTTTTTATGTTGAGGACACCAGAACTGTACACAATACTCCAAGTGAGCTCTCACGAGAGCAGGGTAGAGCGGCAGGATCACCTCCTTTGACCTGCTGGTCACGCTTCTTTTGATGCAGCCCATATTTCTTCATCACAAAACTTCATATTTCTTCATCACAAAATATTTATTGCTGTCTTCTGGAGTAACAAATACCTATCTGTCGTTCCATATTTGCCTGTATATTTAGTATAGTACTTTCTGTTTCAAGGGTGCTGTCAACCTAAATCTGTAATTTTTCATAAAACATTCTAAATGGCTCAATTGGAAAGTGTGAAAAAAAATACTGTTAGTTTATTCTGCAGATATTGTAACTAGCAATGATGCTCCATTACATGGATATTACTGTATGAATGACACTAAAAGAAAATCTTCTGACGCAGATACAGTCTGGGATGTTGAACGTGAAGTCCCAGTACGATGAGAAGGATGCACTCAGGAAAACTCTATTCACTTCTTTGGTGCTCGTGCCTATATCAGATTAATTTTGATGATTCTGATACCACCACTACTCATGGTAGCAGTAAATCATATTTTAAATTGTCCTATATAGTTTTCCTGTACTTGTTCTTTTTTAAAAGTTATGAAGTTATGTACATATTAACTGAAGTTATACCAAAATAGATGATTGCTCTTTCAATTTTTAATTGGCAACTTCTCTGCAAAAACTAATTTGAAAGTGTAATTGGATCTACTAATTTAAATACTATATGTCATTAACATTACTGAGAAAGAAGTAATTTAAAATTTTCATTAGTGATTATTAGATTAATTAGCTGCTGAAGTCTGTTTTTAAATGTAATCACAGGACTTCTGTACTAGTGCAGTATTCTCCATTTCTTGTGCTGAAGCTACAATTGTGCAGAAAATGGTTTGTAATTCACTGTAGAGTGGTAGGAAGAAGGAATGTGACTTTTGGTAGTGCCTGATGATTTAGGCATCTGTTTTCAGAAAGAAATCTTTCCCTGCTATAAAATCTGTTTATAATTTTTTAACAGTCAGTAGTAAGCAGCTAAAATGCAGAAATTGCCTTGAAATAGGGCACCACAACCTGAATTTCCCATATGAATTCCCTGATAACCAACATTCTCGCTTTATTGCTTCTTTTTGTAGCCTGCAAAATCTTTAACTATTTACTACACAAGAGCATTATAGAATCATAGAATAGTTAGGGTT